TACCAGGTAGGGGCGCTTGTTTATAGATGATATCGTCTTAGGTTAAGCGTTCAGATGTGCCCGTAGTTAGCCCAGAAGACCCCCAAGGACAACACGGCTCACCCCCGAGACTTCATTCTTTGCATTCACCCGGCTCGCATCCTCGAATTCCCGTACAACCCCTGCTACCATGATCTTTCGAAGCTTAGCATCGGCCTTGGAGAACATTTCGCCCAGTGAAACAGTACAAACGGAAGGGGTCGGGACCAAAGATATAAGTCGCGTATAGCAGTCTATCAGCACGTCGCACAAAGTTACAAACGTTTCAAAATAGTCTGGTTCAAACGGTAAAGATGGCGTTAGGAGATATGAATATTCCTCGCCTGGGAGAAGCTCCGACGCTTCAGTGTGGGGGAAAGAGATCGCAGCGGCTGCTGCTGAAGCAGACGAGGTTATATTGCCTGTCATGGCCTTTAATTCAGATGGATCGCTAGACTGCATGGGCAGACCAATTTCGGTGGCAGAACTAGCTCTTCTAGTCTTGGTTCCCGCATGCGCCGCTCTCTTTAACATCTGTGGTATCCGTGCTCTAGCAAGTGTTGATGAGGAGCTTCCATCAGGAGGGTGCACTTGCTGGAATGCTTCGAATTCAATCAACAGTGCATTGAGTGCCCGCAGATATTCCACAGGGGTCGAGCTGACGTCTAGAATTGGTGGGAGTGATAAGCCCAGGAGAAGGTAATTTATCGCACGGCGAGAAAGCTTGCGGGCTTCGAAGTAAGGAATTCGGCCAATATCAGCCCGAGAAAAGTGTACAGTATTGAACCAGTAAATGCGGCCTTCGTGTCTGAAAAGTCGTCAGCGATTCATGCCTAGTTCATGTTTGTCTCAGAGTCATAATGAACTGACGCCTTTCTCAAGTAATGTAAAGTTGATATTCGCTTCGTAGCCATATCATGGATATGCTGATAGATTGCCGCAGCGCTCTGTGGCCCGAATGACCCCCCTCCACTAGTTAGCGGTGGAGGGAGAGAACCAACTGTGGTCTCGTGGCCTATGCTCGATTTGCCAGTGTCTCTGCGAGTCAATGTAGGGGCAAAGGTAGACGAGATCATGTTCGACATGTTCAACGAAGGAACTGATAAAGACAGGAGGAAAATCAAGAGGGGTAGAAGTCTGCCCTCTGTTGGAGTCCAAACAAAGCAGGCTTAGTAGTTTGCTGACATCTAGGGATAGAAACTTGAAGTGATAACCTTCCGTACAGTGTACGAAGACTTTCGCCGATAAATGTGATTTAATTACACCAGATAAGATTTACAATGCTCCACTACAGACTATGCCTCGTTCGACAAGGTCGTGACTGGTAGAACAGAGCAAATTATTTGGATATTTTAGTTATCACGCATATAGCCAGCGGCCAATTGGGATTTACTGATAAATATAAATAGAGATGGGATATGTATATACACCATCCAGAATTAATTTTGTAGAGTAAAATGGAGTGGCGAGCTAGGTACTGTATGGGTGGGCATAGATTTAGCACTAGCTACTAGTACTCCGGAGTGGTATGTATGTATTTAGTACATCAATCCTAGTTTCAAATGAACAGTACACATGTTACATTTACCAGTTACCTTTCGGCTTTACTACGTATTACTACTACTAGTAATACGGGAATTCTCCGCAACCACCATGGTCCTTGCGCCTTCCTTCCTATGAACATTCCAATCTCGGCCCCTCCCCTCTTCATCACTTTTTGGTTGATAGTTCCCTCTTTGGGTCGACCTATTACCAGCGCTGAACTGACGCCCCTCTTATTTTGTATTCACCAAACCTACCTACCTATTCCGCACTCCTGGTGTAAGAACATTTCTGAAGAATGGAAGGAGGATCATTATAAAATAATCATCACTCTGCTAATCATCAATTGCTAACAGCAAGTACTTCTCGCTTCGTTCTGGCACCCTGTACAAAAGAAAACTAAAGAAAAGAAAACAAAATGAGTACTTCCAACGAAGACCCTGTACCCCTGCCAGGGCAATGGCCAGTTGACCCTCAATATGATGTACCAATTGCTGAAGACCGTATATGGGTGGATGGATGCTTTGACTTCAGTCATCACGGTGAGAAGCAAAAACTACTTCCAGGTCTGAGACTGGACTCTAATTAAGATGAGAATTGCAGGGCACGCGGGTGCTATGCTCCAGGCACGTAGACTGGGAAAGGAACTCTATGTTGGTGTGCATTCTGATAAAGCGATACTTGAAAACAAGGGCCCAACTGTGATGACTTTGACTGAGCGGTGAGTAGCTCAATTCGACATCTCTTTTGTGGCCTGGCTTACTGATCCTGATTCCTTATATATTCAGTGTTTCTGCCGTTGAAGCATGTCGGTGGGTGACTCGTTGTGTTCCCCATGCTCCGTATGTGACGCAATTACCATGGGTGTCTCATTATGGCTGTAAATATGTTGTCCATGGGGATGACATTACATCTGATAGCAACGGTGACGATTGCTATCGATTTGTGAAGGCTGCAGGGCGATTTCGTGTGGTCAAAAGGACCCCTGGAATCTCCACTACTGATTTAGTCGGCCGTATGCTCCTGTGCACAAAGGGACACTTTGTCAAAAATGTGAAAGGTACACTTGCCGGCGAGGAAGGATCTGTGAATCAAGAGGAACGACGGTTAGCTGCCGCTAACCTTATGCAAAGAATCCGCGATTATGCCACTGACGAGACTGGTTTGCAGCCTGGCTCCCCTGTATGGATCTGGGCTGGCTCAAATTCCGCCAAGCTTGACAATACTATGGAAGAGCCTGGATTATTCGAAACAATATCAGGCGGGAAGCCGTCTAGACCAGGACAGAGAATCATCTATGTTGATGGTGGCTTTGATCTGTTCTCTTCTGGACATATTGAATTTCTCAGGCAGGTTTTGGCACGCGAGGAAATAGAAGGCCGTCAGCGTGGCTGGTACGACCCTGGATTGAGAGAGAAAAGACTCCGGGAATATGGAGAAGATTATGGCCCGGCTTATGTCATTGCGGGCATTCATGACGATGGTGTAATCAATCATTGGAAGGGCTTCAATTACCCTATCATGAACATATTTGAGCGCGGACTTTGTGTTCTTCAGTGCCGTGTAAGCCATGCTACCCTCTGCCAGTGATGGTGATCATCCCACTCGTCTTATTGACTGCCCCTAGTATATCCATGCCGTCATATTCTCCGCTCCTTTCTCACCAAGTGAGCCCTACCTAAGAGCCATGCCCCTAGGTGTGCCGGACGCTGTTTATCATGGACCTACCACATTTATTCCACTTACATATGATCCCTACACCGCCCCCAAAAGAATGAGCATTTTCAGAGAAACAGGTAGTCATGATTTCCAGCATGTGAATGCTGGCGAAATAGTTGGAAGGATCCTAAAAAGCCGTGAGGCTTATGAAGAGAGACAGCGTGCAAAGTTGCAGAAGGGAGTCATTGAAGAGCTGAGGAAGACTAAGGAAGAGTCAATAAATTAGGCAAGCGACTTTGATCCACACTGCCGAAAGTGCGAGATGTAAGCATTGTTAACGCTCGTTGATTGACTTATATGCTAGGTTCACATAATAGAGACTGAACCTGCAAAGGAAGAGGATTAACTATAATATTCATGCTTAGTTAGACAGTATGTCTTCAGCTCTAACTAGATTCGATGCAGATAAAATGATACAACTGATACAACAGTTGACCCTCACAAGCTACCTGGTAGTAGGACTGCTTTATATAAACAAATTTACTACATAAAGTCTTCCTTTTTTTTTTAAAAACCGGGCATCTATGCTTCGAGTTAGTCAGCCGCCACCAGGACATTCTTTTCTTCAAGCAATTTTGCGAGCTCCCCGTTTTGATGCATCGACATTAGAATATCACAGCCACCAACAAACTCCTTATCCAAATATAACTGTGGAATGGTTGGCCAGTCGGAGTATTCTTTGATACCTAAACAGAAACACTAGTTAATGACCGCAAACCCATTTGAAGCATCAACAATCCTGCAAGTTTCAATTCCAGAACATACCCTGACGCAATTCAGCATCCTCGAGCACATTGAATGCGACAAACTTCTTAGGATCAACCCCTTGCAAGCCCAAGATCTGGATACTTGCTCGCGAGAAGCCACATTGAGGAGTCTCGGGGGTACCCTTCATGAAAAGGACAACCGGAGCAGATGCAATGGCTTTATCAATTGCCGATTTCGTCTCAGAAGAGAGTAGTCGGGCGTAAAGGTTAGATGGTAACTGAAAACCATAGGGTCGTAGTGGCAGCGCCTGTGGCCGCGAAAGCGGTCGGAATGCCTATTTCAGTCTACGTGAGCTTGTGAAAGGTCAAAAGTAATCAACTGAGTGTAATGTTTATAAGTAAATATGGGTTGAACTTACTGATGAGAAAGCCGCCCTTGAGAACATTTTTTGGAGGTACTAGCAAAGCAGATAGTTACTTGGTCTATCAGTGAAATTATAAATGCTGGGCAATATCCGTCATACTACTAAAACTTGGATCACTAAGCAGCAGCCAATCATGTGGTCAACGTCGTCACTCCCAGTGTTCTATCCCGCTTTTGTCAGCAACCAACAGGAGGTACCAGCAAGTACTCCGTAGTACTTACCGCAGTGCCCACTTTGTAGTACAATGTACTCTTGGGATGCCTAGTGCAATTTAGTCGGCGCCAGCTAATGATCTGCTGTAGTGGTAAATCTAGTTTCGATGGTAATAGGAATGATAAAAAATCCGGCTTATCGGAAGCAAGGGGATGAACGCAAGTGGATCACTACGATGAGCCTCGCTACTCCAAGAATACTGCAAGACCCGATTATTAGGTTATTGGAGAGTGTGGCCGACAACTGAGCGATACAAGCAAGATACTAACGCCGAGTGTCAGTATATATTTAGTCCGAGGTTTTCTTCCCTTGCGACTATGAGAGCAAGATCCCAGATATGTCTAAACACAATAATCTAATGCTACAATAGGGCCGATCAGCTGATCTCTCCATTGGATTTGGAAGTTGCGTCTGTGACCACTTGGGGGGATTTTGTATCCTTCCCGTCCAAATCAGTAGCACGCGCTATATAGTCGAACAACATCCCCAAGGTAATGCCTCCTCCAGTGAGCAAACAACCATTCTTGAACCACCACCAGCAGTTCTGGACATTTTTTAGCTGAACCCTCCAAATCATGATACCAAGAGAAAGAACCGCGCTGCCACAGCTGCCAATAAAGAAGACTGGTCCAGCGCCAGCCGACACGCCAGCCGCAGCAAGCAACGCCACTTGGACAACTGCTAGAGCAGAAAGAACAGTTTTTGTATTGTGTTCATGACGAAGAGCGATGGACTTGATACCTGCCGCTACATCATCCTTTATGTCCATATGGGCGTAGATCATATCGTACAGAATTGTCCAAGCAACGCAGCTAGAATAGAGTGCTGCTGCTGACTCCAAGGCAGAATGGTTGCTGAGAAGATCTATACCCAGCGCAGGAAACCCCATCATCGCACCCCACGAAAATGTTAGGCCTAGAACGGCTTGCGGGTAGTACGTGATGCGCTTTGCGAGAGGGTAAGTCGTCACAAGAAGCAGACTAGGTACCCCATACCAAAGACACAGCGTTGGGAATTGAAGAAGAATGCCCAAACCCGCCAGCAACTGCACCCCAGTAAACACTACAGCTTTGCGCGGGGATACTGCCCTTCTAGCAATTGGCCGAAACTTGGTGCGTTCGACATGTGGATCCAAATTCCTATCCCATAAATCATTGATTGTACAGCCGGCGCCTCGCATGACCAAAGCTCCCGTTAAAAACAGTCCCATCGTCCCAAGGACTTGCAAAGGGGTCGACGATGCCATAGGCGCCGCGAGGAGTGTTGAGAATGCGCATGGGAAGAAAAGATAGTATGTACCAGTAGGTTTGTCAAGGCGTATCAGTTCGGCGTACGGTATCCAAGACTGAGGAAGAGAGGCAACAAGTCCTGTCTTGGGTGGAGTGTAATGAATTACCGAGGCCTGCTCTGCTGTACCGGGTGATTTGGTAACTGATGGTGATGAGTACGGTAGGTGCGAATTGAACCTTCTTAATGCCGATCCTGAGTGTGTAGTGGGCTTGGGTGTAACAAGAAGGGTAGGCCTCTGCCTAGTATAACAGCCCGAAATGAAGCGAGTGGAGAGACTATGTCGAAGGTATGGCAAATCACGCCTGTTGTGACAAACTCTTCTTACTTCCAAGCCACTGCGTGGTTGCATACTCCGATACATGGCGACACGAGTGGTAAACTGCATTCTCCAAGGCTATCAGATGGTCTATAGAAGTCACCTGTAACGAAATACCAATAGCTGTTCGATGTTTGAGTGGGTAGGTCAATTGAAGTTCATCTTAGTGAGCGAAGTAAGCAGGGCCAGGATGCCGAACTGCACTTGTTTTGATGGCTGGTGCAGGAATATCCTCACAGATGTTAGCCTGTAAGTCAGTGGCCCTTTAGCTGTATAGGGTTTCAGTGTCTTTTCAAGAGTTCTGTGTTACTCTTGTGATCTAGGTATTCTATGTAGTCATCAGAATCCAGGATCTTTTTCCCTTCACTAATGGAAGGAGGACCCACAGTGATACTAGTAATATTATTGTCCTAACCGAATGCAGGAAAGCGCGGCAGGCACCTAGCAGACCAGTCATGCAGAAGCTCTTGTGTATCGCGATTATGGGAACTTGAAGTGTATGCTGCTTCAAAATCTTGCTTTTTATTTCTACTTCCAATCGACTTTCTCTCACTTTGTTCTGTCATGCTCCTCACCTTCTGCGCCTCCAAGCATTTGTGGGGCTTGATATGGCAAATACTTCTTTGAGCTACGACGCGAAAGACAATTACCACCTAACCCCTGCTATTGCTCCGCTTTTGCTGCTCCGGATCACTGTACATGAGCCTATATTGTGTTGGTTTGAGCGATATAAGGCTTTCCGATCTTAGAAAATGTATTACTGCCCCACCTTATGGTGATTCACTGTAATCTCTGAACACGCATGGAGAGGCGCCAAACCCCATGCTCTTCGTTATTCCAACCTTTGATTCTCAGCAAGTACTAGGATGCCTGCTCAACGGCCACGGGCTGCTTTTGAGCCCATTTCTCCAGATCTGGACATGGCGGATTTAGTAGACTCGACACCAAACTTCGAATATGTTGCTAGAATTCATTGTGATGCAATTGATGCGAATGGCCTAGAGAACTTCGAGAAACTCGTGTGGCTTCATGTTGTTCTGGGAGGAAAGCCCTTGGTTGTCGAAGGGTTTAACCAAAGACTTGACAGTTCCATATTCTCCGAGAAATGGCTGAGGAGCCACTATTCAATGAAGAGTGAGTAACCCTCCCAGCCCCGCGTGCGCAGCCTTTTGTCTGACCGTAATTCATATGAAGCGGAATTTGCCCGGAACCTCACAACACAAACCGACCTTCCACTTACTATTGGGCATTATTTGAAGAATATGCATCTGCTTACGAATCAATGGACGACTCATAACTACAAAGATCCAAATCGACAGAGGATTTATCTTAAAGACATCGACTGCCCCCAACAATGGCATGACCACCTCAAACAACTTATCCCTCCTCCATTGTTCTATCTAAACAAGTTACCGGAGATCTTTGAAGGCCCCGGAGCGAAGACATTATCGTCAAACGGCGAATCATTGGCACGATCAGCTTCAGGGAGGCATATTGCCATGGCCGGGGACCTCATGAGCTGTCTTCCGCCCTTCATGCGTGCTGAAAATTTGATGTGCTATATTGGCCACGAAGGGACTTATACACCAGCCCACCAGGAGATGTGCGCTAGCCTTGGACAGAACATAATGGTTGAAGCATCAGATGGATCTGTTGAGTACGGGAAAGCAACCAAGCCTGGATCCTCCATCTGGTTCATGACGGAGAGCAAAGATCGCCACGTCGTAGCTGAGTACTGGATGTCTATGCTGGGACATGATATTGATATCGAGGACCACTTTGCCCAGATCAATGCATGGAAAGCGGCCCCGTTCAAGACGTATATTGTCGAACAAAGACCGGGGGATTTTCTCTTAGTTCCTCCACTAGCCGCACACCAGGTATGGAACCGGGGAACGAGAACGATGAAAGTAGCATGGAATCGGACTATTGCAAAAACTTTAGAATTGGCCTTGTTTGAGGCGCTCCCTCATGCTAAAATGGTGTGTCGCGATGAGCAGTACAAAAATAAGGCCATTGTCTTTTACTCGCTTGACCATTATTCTGACCTTCTTAGTGAGGTGGGTGACAGCGGCGTTTGGGGCCCTCGTGTGCAGTTGCTGCTGGAGGATTTCGAGCTTTTATTTGAACTTTATACCCAGATCCTGCTTTCCGAGAGCTTTTTGCATTATCCACCGAAAGAGCATATTGAATACGTTCCTTTCGATAGCAATATTACTTGCTCCTATTGTCGAGGTAACATATTCAATAGATTTTTGACTTGCCCCTGGTGTATTGGTGAGGGTGATGATACATACGACATTTGCATGGAGTGCTATACCATGGGCAGAAGCTGTGCTTGTATATCAAAGTTACAGTGGGTTGAGCAGTTCCGCTGGGGTGAACTAGCCGGAAAGTATGAGAAGTGGAGGCAGCAATTACTAAGGTTCGTCGAGGCTAAGAGTGATAAATACCCATGTCTCCCCGCGAAGAGGGCTCAACTGGGCAAGAAAACTCTAGCCGAGATATGCCATGAACAGATGAAACGTCGCCCCTGGTTCGACGTCACAAATCCGGTCTGCCAGCGAATAGAGGAAAAGGACAGTGGCTCGGAGAATGCTACCCCTATTCGGAAGCGAAGGAAAACCCACAAAAGTAATGCATGCACAGAAGGTGGCCGATGCCATATTTGCAAATGTGCTGAGCCTATGTGGAAGCTCGCATCATGCTCATACTGCAGCTTGAGTTACTGCTATGGTAGTCTCTTCAGAGCCTTTAATATCCAACCACTGAACACCATGGAGATGTATCATTGGATGTGTCCTAAATGCCAGAAGATTTGCAGTTGCGCTGCATGCCGTCGAGATCCGACCATGAATCCTTACGAACCAACATGCACTTTACTGGGCCACGACACCAGGAAGGTAGCAGATCCGCGTAGTGTGGAAAGTTTGGTGGATTTCCGTCAGTCCAACCTCCGATGGCTGAAGAAGGCTGGTGACGATGAAGTAGGTCGACTGAAAAAGCATCAGAAAGAGGCAGATGACAAGCGCAACAAAGCCTTGGTTGATAATTGTATTGAGCTAGAGTTCCCCCAGGCGGGGAGCAAGCGTCCAGAGAGTGTCAAATTGCCTTCCCCTGCAGCTGGGCATTTTAACGACTATAGAGAAATACCCGTTGATCCTGCACTGGAGAAATTAGGTGGATCTCTCCTCCGCCGGAATCCATCATTCAGTGACATGTGCAGATTCGCTAAAGAAGGGCAGGAAGCGCCGCAGACATGACAAGGACACCTGAAATGGTATTATGGGCCTGATAATTTTCCATTAGGAAAGATCTATCTATCTAATTTTTTGGGTCCCTGATAATCTTGTTATTGGTGGATGGAGTGGCTGAAGCCATTGGGCTATTTAGCATGATAATCCAGTACTGATACCATTTGAAGGAGAGTGCGATACGGGTGACCTCAAGCATCCACGACGCGTTGGTTTTAGACAATGAAGAAAGCCTTGTGAATATCCAGTCAGTTGCAACTATAAAAGATGAACAAGAGCAGCAATGGAGGCCGGAAGGAATGAAGAAAGGACAAAAATGAGTACTGGTTGTATATGATTAGTGCAATTAGTAGTTATGTCATAAGCCCTAAACTCCTTTATACCCGTATCGGAGATCCTCAAGATGTTTAAGGTCAACAGAGACCATCATTTTCCGTGCCAACATAATAATTGCAAGCATCGCTGCAAGATAATAAGTTACTTCCATTTCCCTGAAGACATGGCTGTGGCCATAGTGAAAGAGGCAAAGCTACGAGAAACACTCACCTCCGGGAACAAAATATACTTTTGGCTGTACATCGTGAAGTGGCTCTACCGGGGTAAAGAACCACACTAGGAGCAACATGCCACATATCGCAGTATTCACAGGGAGAAGAAACTTGTGAAGGTGGGTGAGAATACCTGAACTTCGCATAGACCCTTTGCCCTTCAGATCTGGGCGCTGGATGGGGAAGTACTTCATAGTGTATGCCGTAGCTATTAATGAAAGAATGCCCAAGAATGCAAGGAAACGCTCCTGTAAGCTCGAGCCCTGTTTAATCACCGAAGGAATGAATACTGAGACTGATAATAGTGGGATAGCAGCGAAGGTAACCTATATTATAGATGGTACAGAGTTTGAGTTTTATGTTTAGCGATGCTCAGTGACAACTTCTGAAGAGAGATATTTACAGTGAATTCTGCATTGTGCTTATCATTTTGCACTCGCAAGCGGTTTATTACTAACTCCTGCTCTGCAAATTTGTTAGAAGATTGTATTGAGCCTGACATGTCCATATCACACACCCTCCTCGTCTAGCTCTTCGCGTTCATGCTCATTATCACCTGAATTATCAGGATAATGAAACGCCTTGCGCAGTCGTGCAGCTGCCATGGGTCCAGGTAGTCTTGTACCTCTTAAGTTGCACAGTGAGTTGTGTGTACACTGGAAGATGACGTTACATTTATCCTCTATGTTGTTGGGTAATCATTTCTACCTCCGCAGTTTGTCTTGTTTGGCTGTTCCCTCTCCGCTCCACAAGCCGCATTTGCCTCGAGAAGGAACTGCTAAGTTGCTAACATATCTACTATCGTCGGGCCCATGCAATTGATATATGACCAAGCTCGCCTCTGCATCATATCATCTAGCTAGCCATCTGGATTTACTCTTACCTAGTAATGGCTCTGCATATTGCGCAGCGGCGCATTAGTGCTGTGCGAATCGAATTCTCTCCTGGCCGGACTTTTCTTCGTCGCAATCTCATTCCCGCCCCGCACGCCAACTCAGGTCCTTTGATGGAACGACGGGCAGACCGCGAACTGCCTTCTGTGAATAAGGACCGACGGTGGCTGCGGACCTTGCCCATATTTGCTGTCGCTGTCGGAGCTGCGATGCTAGGGATTTTCAACTATCAGAAGTCGTCTTCAAGCGTGGTCAGCAGTACCCTCTATGCTCTTCGCACCTCCCCGCGTGCTCGCGAAATCCTGGGCGATGAGATTTACTTTGCTCAAAAGATACCATGGATCAGTGGGGAAATGAATCAGCTACATGGACGTATCGACATATCCTTCAGGGTTAAAGGAACAAAGTCGCAGGGTACAATGAGGTTCCGCAGCATTAGGCCAGACCGAATGAGCTATGTTCGTTATAAACAAACACACTGCCCCCTTCTTTTCCCGAAAGTTCTCTTCTAACAGTTTCGTTCCAGTTTCGTACCGAAGAATGGAGTCTGAAGACGGAGGATGGCACGGTCGTTCAGCTCCTTGACAGTGCTAGTGACCCGTTTCGTCAACACGACTAATTACTGTCAGGTTTCCCTGGAAGCTGCATCCCTGCTTATGCATGGTATTGTGCAACACTTTCATCCTTGTACATCTTGAAGCTCTCCGTGCACTAACCTAGGCATTTAAGCGTCGGGGCTATGGCACTTGTTGGCTACTTCACTCCATTTTGGTACGGAGCGACGGTACTTCAGAGTACAGAAAGGCTGCAGAGACAGACCTGAGGGAAATTCCATCAATGGAAAAGAAATGGGGGGGAGATAAGGATAAAAGGATATCATTTATGTATCATATACAGACGCCGCTTTGTAAACAATATATTGTAATAGTACATTCTCAGGAGCAACGCAACCATCTAGTAGGTTATGGAGCTGGTTCAGAGGGAGATACGACTTCGGGCCATGGTTTCTTGATCGCATCTTGGATCCTGACGATGCAGCCTTTCGGCCCACTGACAGCGCCTGGCAAGGAATACCCGAATTAGCATAGCCCAATGCATCAAGGAGTAGGGAAATCCTACCGTTGACAACAACAATCCCATTCTGCGAGTCAACTTTGAGAATCCTTAGGTTCTGTACTGTATTCTGCTCATTACCCATATTTCCTGCCATCTTCTTCCCAGGATACACTCTAGATCCACCACCTTGACTGGGACCCGCAGAACCAAGAGAGCGATGTGTTAAACTGACACCATGGCTTCGGTCTTGACCACCAAACCCATGTCTTTTCATCACACCAGCAAATCCCTTTCCCTTTGTGTTTGACCGAGCATCAACATATTGACCTTCCTGGAACCAGTCCGCATTGATTGCCTGGCCAACGGGCAGGAGTCCATTTTCATCCCGTACTCGGAACTCGAAGATGTGTCGTTTCGGGGAGATACCATTAGCAGAGAAGTGCCCTAGGAGTGACTTGGTGAGATTACTAGGGTGTTTCCAACCGGAACCAACTTGGACAGCAAAGTAACCGTGCTGCTGTCGTGTCTTATGCGAGATAACTTCCACTCGGTCCAACTGAAGGACGGTGCACGCGATTCGCTTCCCTGTCTCTGCATCATAGAGGGCAGTCATCCCTTTCTTGATAGTGACGGCTCCAGTTCTGGGGGGCAACGTGTCTGCTTTGCGTTCTAGAGCTGCTGTTGGTGTCGACTTGAGCACTGGGAGATCAGACCCGACATTGAACCGGGAGGTTTTCGGAGGGTTTAACGACCTGATGCCGAACGACCGGATCGTGACATTGCTGAGATTTATTGATTGCGAAGCCCAAAGAAAATGAGGAGACTGTAATAGTTGACCTGGTAGACGAGGTGCCATGGCGGAGCAAGATTGCCTAAAGGGGCATTTCCTGAATGAAACTGATGAACTCGTCCATGCCCGAGATTTTTACGACTACGCGGAGAGAATCTAGGGCGGTGAGTAATCACCATTGGTGCCTCATACACAAGGCGTATAGTGACTTCGACCACGTCTGCCCGCGTATGCTCTACCACTGGAAAATAACATTGATTTGAACAATACCCAGTGGAAATTGGACAACTGCATTGAACCAGTTTCCTGGCATTCGGTACTATGCAGCCTAGAAGTGAGATTGCTGTCAGTCATACTAGGCATCCCGTGCACAGGACGTACCGGACATACCGGCACACCGACCGCCGAACATATATGGACCGGTCCATTCATGATAATTTTAATTTTGCGATCTGCTTGCTATTTCGGAAAGTCATCACTACAATTGTCCTGGCGTCGCCTTCCTCCTTTCTTATATTTTAGTCTCGCATTAATAGTTTCTTGTCAGCCTTCTTGACTTGCAGATAGAGCACGATTGAATTCGTGGGTGCATTCTTTCTCATTGGCCAGAATAAGCAACATACGAACCCTGCCGGAACCATACAATTGCCTCTTGAATAGAAACCCCGGAGTCTTCTATATCCACTAGTTATGTTTTTGAAGCATCTCACTATATCGCGCTGGCTTCCCCAAGCTTCCGGTCTTGAGTGGCATGTACTGCCATCAAAATTTACCAGGTCAAACGTCCAGATGTTTCAGCCACCAGCTTACTTTAGCACGTTCCGCCGCGCTTTTTCCCTTTCAGCCGATAAAAACAGCTTCCTTTCTAGCCGGATAAGACCCCGGTCTAATAATATGCGGAGCTTTTCTCGTACGCAACAGGCTCCGGTTTTCCGTCGATTCCTTAGCTCATCCAGGTCAAAGAGCTCACCGCAATCAGGGCAATCCAGTTCGCTCTCACAGCGGTTAAAGGCGCTTTCTCGGGAGTACGGCTGGTCGGCCTTGGGGGTGTATTTACTCTTGTCCGCGATGGACTTCCCGTTCTGTTTTGCCGCCGTTCGCTTCCTTGGGGTGGAGAAAATCGGCTATTATGAGCATGTAGTCGTGGAAGCGTTTAAGGGTGCAATCGGCACTGTGCTTCCCAGTGTGCAAGAGGAGCAATTTAAGGAGGAGACAAATCCTAGGACCGATTCTTCAAAGAGTGATTTGGAGGGGAGTACAGTGGAGAAAAAGCTAGATGAAGGGGCGAGTATGTTATCCTTATATGACTCTAGTACACGGATTGTCTGGAGTGTTCACTAACTACTATTTGTGCAGGTCTATGGACACAGGTTGCTCTCGCCTATGCAATCCACAAGAGTCTTATATTCATTCGTGTGCCTTTGACCGCTGCTATAACCCCTAAAGTTGTCAAGGTCTTGCGCCAATGGGGCTGGGATATTGTCAAAGGCAAACCGAAGGGTATGTAATTTGGCGTATCCCTTTTAAATGACATAAAAGACATGCCTGATCACCTTTCATTTGCTGTATGGAATCAGTTTCGCGGTTCAATTGTACATTAGCTGCTCTACCTTAATTCCGGGAGTGCATGACCATAGTGTTCTTCTCCACTCGTATGTTTTCCAAATGGGTATTCGTATTGCGTAATGACCTACAAGAACAATAAATATCAAAAAACGAAGAGGAGCACAGAGTCGGCAAGGTATCATTGAGATAAAAACGGATGTCTATCCTCCTCTTCCAGTTTCTTTTTTGTTTTTGCCTTCTTTTCCTTGGTTTGTATGAACCTTCGATGAGAACAGTAGAGGACGACTTGGATGCTTGACAGATAAGTGTGGAAGTGCAAAGCAGCGGCCCAAACCAAAATGCAAAAAAAAGTCAGAAATGCAATAGAGACCCATTATCTAACACGCCATAAAGACCTTAATATATACCTGTTAACAACAACAGAGTTGAATGAGACGACGAAATAGGTATATGAAGACGTCTCACATGTCAATCATATCATTAAATCTCAGAATACCATTGGCTTTCATCACACCGTTCACGCCATCAGGCATTCGGTATGCCCATTCGGCCACGCCCATCGCGTTCGCTGCTCCTAGAACTTCTTTATGGCCTGAAGGTTCAACTTCATCGGACGTATCTGCTACAAGTACGAGGCCAAGTTCCTTAATTGTCTCTACAAGAGCCGGCACAACGTTCTGAAGCAGCCACAGAAGCTCCGTATTAGTAGATGACCATAGAGCATAATGTGCCGAGAATGGGGTAAAGCGTCGGGAGTGAGCATATAGGGGTACAGGCACGTACCAATAGGCTGGACCGGCATATCAAGCCCATGAAATTGTTACTTTGCGCTATCCTTGCCGATTCTTTTATGGACATCGATGCACGACCACTACTATTAATGTCTGGAAGGGATCCAACACCTCGAGTCAAATCACGAATTTGACCTAGATCATTGCAAAGAAGAACAGGATCTAAAAAATGCAAGTTAGCAAACCATGTAATAGGGTTCAGTGGGGCTTTTAGACTCACAATTTGGTTGTTTCCAGTTCAGAGCAACACAAATATTAGGGTTGTATGAGGTGAATACTACTGAGCGCATAAATTCAGGGTTCTGCTCCCGTGATACACGGGCATGATCGAAAACCACGGTGAGAATGGCGTCAGCAAAGCTGTTTACGTCAGCTAAAGATACCATATTCAGCGCTTGCTCTTCAGCAGCCGAGGGATAGAGTATCGAGAGATTGACATTGACACCAATAGGCAGCTGCTGGAGCACCTCCTTGAGGGAGAGGAATGATGATGCTAGCATGCGGTGCGCTTGAGCCAAATCATCAACAGCACGTGTCTGAAGATGCTGAAACAAGTCTAAGCGATTCACACCTTTCTCAACACCGATGACTTGGAACTGAGAGTATGTGAGATGACAGATGGGTAATTCAATGCCATGGTGCAGGATTGTAAAACATGGATAAAGTACGGGTATTCTGTCTCTGGTAAGTTGTACGAAAAGCTGCACATGATCTCCCGACAAGCTCGACCCTGTTACCAGGCCATTGTGTTCCGAGTCGATGGCACTTGTAGCCTTCCAATAGGTAGCAAAGTGCGTTATCTCCAGGGGATCACCGTGGTACGGCTTTATCACTTGAAACCCAAATCGTAGTTGCCCTATTGACCGTAGCCTAGGATCAAATAAGGGCAAGCTACACGAGCCAGTGCTAGAGATCTCAGCTCTAAATATAGTCGGTAGGGCAACTGTCTTCGCAATCACTTTCGAGCCGAAAGTGGGAAATATCTCGAAATCCACCGCAAATGTCTCCAGGTTATCTACCTGAAATGAGATCAATCGTGAATCCTCTTGGATGGGGAGCATAATGGTGCGTGGGATCAAGTCGGAGAGTTTCGAGGAAATGGTTAATCGAGCCGCAGGGTGACGGCCCGCTTGATCAAAGATAATTGAACCGGAGTTTCCAGTGTCAAAAAGTATTTGCACAAACACTTTCTTGTCCAAAAAGTTATGGCCATAACGACGCAAAGGTATGATTGGTGGTGGGAGAGAAAGGTCGGGTATACCATCCACTACCTCAGTACTCTCGAAAGTCGTCGGGGCATCCTCCATATGCGAACCAGTTAAGTGACCTGCTTCTTGTAGCCTCAAACCGTTCAGAATATCAAGCGGCTTTTGTGGTGGGCGAGAATTGCTACGATGCGACCAAAGAAGAAGCATGCACTCTAAGTGACCTTCCCATGCTGCATAATACATTGCAGCGAGGCCCTTCTCGTCTACAACATCGGCGTCAACTCCCAATTCAAGAAGAGCGCGAAGACAGTCGACGCAGCCTTCACTCGCAGCATGAAACAGTGGCGTCCATTGGTACAGTTTGTCTTTTTGGTTCAAATCAGCCCCATGTTGTTTGAGCATCATCAGCAGTTGCGGGGACTGAGAAGCTCTTGCGACCATATGTTGAGGATAGAGGCCTTCTGCATCTGGGAGTAGTTGTGCATGCCGTTCGAGAAGTAACTCCACAATTGGAAGCGATCCATGTTGGCATGCCAGGTTCAGCGGAATATGATCTGATTCAGAAGCTGGATCAATGCGAGCATTGTTGTGAAGAAGTTGTTCAGCACACGCCAGCTGACCTTTGACAATGCTATGAATCAGCGGGGTAAAATTGTCATGGTCCATCACGTCGACAATGTGAGGACCTGCAGCTAATAGATCTTTTACCATATCTACCCGGCCGTGTATACATGCATAATGCAGGGGAAGTCTGCCATAAACATCGGACCTTGAGATGTCGACACCTGCAGAAAGGCCAGACTTGAAAACGAACCCTCGACCTGAGATGGCTGCTTCATGTAAACAGTTGCGTTCATTGATGTCATCTTCAGCGTAGATATCAACTAATCCGCTTTCAAGAAGAACTGCCAACACATCGTCCGGAAATTCACTGATAGCGGCAAGGAAGGTACGAGTCGCGCGTTCACGAGCATCAAGAGATGATTGCAGCTTCGCGGTCCACTCACGCAATGTCTGAAGATTACCGGCAGTGGCTGATTGCAGGATTTGCAGGTCAAGATCTTCCTCATCGGCTCCGAACGGTTGAACAACTACAGCACGGTCTACCGGCCGAGCAGCATCGAAATGGATGTTCTCACCTTCCGCCCATGCCTCGAGTTCCAGCCGAGCGGTTGTCGCCCGGTCTGATAGATCACGCAAAACGTCCCGATTGAAACAGGGCTGTACTTCGACGGCGCGATGGAGGTATAGCTCCTTCATACGTGACTGATCCAAAGGTCAGTAAGACGGAGAGTACAATCTGAATGGGGGTATATGTCCATGAGTCACTCGGACCTTTGAAGTTTTATCCCACTAATTAACATGTTAGCCATCCCGAACCTAATAAGTCAAAGTGACCCACGAACCTTTTTAAGGATTTTTGACATAGCAGTCTCGTTGATCTCGACGAATTGCTTTGTTGAAAATGGTATAATTAGACTCCCCCATGTGCACGGTATTCAGAAGCAACATGCTTACTTGCAACTTATTCAGATCACCATCAAATTGTTGGAACCCCTCGAATAAGGTAACAAAATTAGCTGGCGCCTTGGAGCTGGGTACTGTTCGTGATTGAATGACCCTTTTTTTATCGACTAGCGTTTTCAATCGCAGGGAGAACTATGAGACCAGATAAGTATACCCAGTGGACCAAAGGGGGTCTAATATGAAAGCAAACCTCGGCTTCTTTTTGTAGGTAGAATGTGTTGACTTTTTCGATTTCTCTCTCCTGTATGGGTTGTCAATCAACGCGAACACACCACACACCCCTTCAATACCCTGATTAATGGGCCCATACCAACCGAAAAAAGAACACCTCCTTGTTTGCGCGAAGGGCGGCTTGCGCTTCGGGTACATTTTGAGCTGCGCCTGCGGAGCTTTGAGCGGGGATGGTCGGCGTAGCACTTAATTGCTTTATGAGCTGTCATTTGAACCTTAGCCGCAGAACTCTGAGCGCTGCGATCCCTCTCTGAGCACTAACCTTCTTCAGAGCCTTGTAATTTACGAAACTTGCGGCATATTCAGGAAGGTCAAGTTGTCTGCGCTGGATTTGTTTGCCGAACTTCCTATTAGCGGAACGGTTAGCCTTGTAGGTTACAGACCGTAGATCGCTAAGGACTGGTTGTATTGTGACACAATTCGGCTCTCACATGGAGAATTATTTCCACTTACATCCTGATAAGCTCTTGGCGAAAGCCGATGCTCTCCTTGCCCCTTGACGCACTCACACCTAATAAGGCAAAGGTCTAGAGGCTGGAGAAGGACGGAAGTCGGGATGAGTACCCAGGATGTTCCAATTGCAATGTTTATAGGGTAAGGGGACAGAGGAGGGAGAAGCGAGGGAGGGAAGACAAGGAAAGTAGCAGCAATCGCCTCTCTCGAATGTTTTCAACAGAATGTAGCAGAGGGGAGGGGGTGAGCAGGTGAAAAAGGGACGTAACACGAAGTGGGGCGAAAGGGGAGTAGATAAGCAAGTAACAGTCGTTGTAATGCTTTATTTTTTGTTGTAGTATGGACGTGTACAACGTAATCGCGAGTAGTAAATGGGCATGTACTGTCTTGGACACAATGGCTAGCCACGAGATCTAGCCAAAATAAAGCACAAAAAGCAGCACGAATATCGCTTCAAGGCTCCCTTGTCTCTGCAGATATTGGCGGTTCGTACGGAGGTCCTCGCCCTGTAGCCAGTTGGTACTTAGTATACCTTTCAGGCTATCGCTGCACGCCAACTGTAATTGTTCATTCAACTGGAGTTTAGTCACTGGAGGAGAGACCAGTGCGGGGCACTTGACTCCAGCGGACAGCGTAGGAGCCTAGGTGTTAGACGATGGGAGACGAATGACGGAAAGAGGGAAAGAAAGCCAAAGTCCCCCAACCAATGCCGTCGTTATACTACTACTAGTA